GGAACTAGGACAGGAACAGACTCGGAACAAAAAGCCATCTTGTGAGCTGGTGGCAGATTGGCATTTACCACATTGTGAGCTGGAGGACTGGAGTCGGCCATCATGTGATCTGAAGGACTGGAGTAGGCCATCTTGTGAGCTGGAGGACTGGAGTCGGCCATCTTGTGAGCTGGATGTGTGGTAGTGGTATGAGCAGCAAGTCCCGTTACCAGCGGGTCTTGCGGTCCTATGCCCCCCCCAAAAAACATTTAGGGGTCTCCTCCGCGTTGCCAATAGTAAAAGGGGACCCACTTAATTGTAATGCCAGTTCGATGTACATTTCTAATGTCCAGTGTGGCTGATGTAATGGCATGATAGAATAAAGGGGTTCCGAAAGTCCTCCACGAAAAAATATCATCAGGCATAACTCATCCCAAGATGTTAAATGGGCTACCTGGATGAAGTCCTCCACATATTCCTCAATGGACCATGCTTCCTGATGAAGACGCATGATCTTTATACCCGCTGGATCCATGTTGTGGCCGAGTCTTCTGTAACGCCGGGGAGTGACTCTGACAACAGAAGGTAGGATCCAATGTGCAGGTTTATTCACAGTCAGGCAAGCAGTGGTCAATACGGGAGCAAACAGGTGTGTGAGGACAATCCAGAATCATTGTCAATTTAACAAGCAAGAGGTCGAAAGGCAGGCGGCAGACACGGAAAACGAAATAAACAAGGCTAGGTTTAAAACACAGAGAAACAAGACCAGGATAACGTGTTGTATTGTCACCTTACAGATAAACAAGACTCAGCAAACTGAAGGGGTGAATGTGTGGCTTAAATAGTGTGTGTTAATCAGTCTCTGAAAGTCCTCAGGTGTGCAAATGTAATCAAGCTAGATGAGAAAGCAGGTGTGTGGGTGAAGAGCATGTATGAAGTTGAAGTCCATTAACTGGCAGATTTGTAGTTTCATGAGTGAGTGTTTACCAGCGACATCTGGTGGTTTGTTCACTGGTAAACATGACACATGTATTGTTCTCCACCTTCACTGTCTTTCCCCACATTCGGGAGAATAATGATGTGAAGAAGCATCCCTTATTTACACTAGTCTGTTTTAATTTTAAAATGGTGTTTTACTATGAAAATGCACCTTGTCCAGGTGTTTTTACTGTGTTTTAGAAAAACCATCTCCGTCCACATTACACAGCTTAAAACACTATGTGATATGATTTGTGACCATTCTCTGGACATGCACATGTATTGTTGGCATTTGTATTTGCAGTCTCTTGTGTAATGGTCAAATTAGAGGGGCTTGATGAATCAGGAAATTATATGTGAAGTCCATTTTAAATTAAAATTCCTTCATCTCCCATTGCTATGAATCCTAAGCAAAGGTCTAAATTCACTGATATCCATTTAGTTGCTATTGCTAAATCAAGGAGGCGTCTGGATTCATACCTGGTGCAGTGCAATCTGAGCTGCATCCAATGCTTTTAAATGCACTCACCTAACCCCACCCCTTACCCTGCTCGTCACAGTGACACCACTCACTCTATTTAGTACATTGTGTGACATTGCATTGCTAAGTGATGCAATTTCAGCTTGCATCATAAAGGCTGCATCTAGATACTATTGAAATCAAGTGACTCCTCTCGGTCTAGTATATCATCTCAGTGTCAGTATATTGTGCAGGTTCATGGGCACTGTACAATTATGTATAGACCAGACACCTGCACGTAACTTTTATTGTTTGGAACAAAAAATAGTGAATGTGCGCACTATACTGACACTGAGGAGACTGTTGAATAAAGGAAGAAAGACTGTTGAATAAAGTTATTTTCGTTTTATGTGCATACAAAAGTATTCTTGCTGCTTGATAATATTCTGATTAAACCACAGAAGAGGATTTGTTTTGGTACCTGAAACTTACTGTCTACAAATGATGGGAGAGCTCTTAAATTTCATCCAAAATATCTTAATTAGTGTTCTTAAAATATGAATAAAGGTCTCAGAAGTTTGGAATAACATGAGTAATTTAGTAATGAGTACAAAAGTGTAGATTTGCTTATGATATTGGTGGGGACCTAATTTGACACCAACCTCCTTTCAATTTTAAATTTTCAATGTCACTTCACATTTAAAATTTAAAGTTAAAGAAATGGCTGACAAAAAAGAAGTTTAATAAAGACTTCTGTTTACTGAGGGCTTATTTGTTCATAATTACTTACCACTGCATCTGAACACATTTTTGCAAGTATAATATTGCCATTTTTGCACTTTAAGCTAAAAGATGACTTTACATGTCCATGTTCTTTTTCTTCTCTAAGTGTGCAAGCAGAACAGCACGTTCTATTTTGCACTTAAAAAAAAACTTAAATAAATAAATCAAATACAATTAGTGATAAAAACAACATTAAATCAAGCATGTCTTATGGTGAAAAAAGTCAATTTACATGATTTTATTTGACAACGAATGAATGCAGACTTCTGAAAAGGGGGAGACATATGACCAGTGGTAAAGAATACAAAAAAAATATACTAAAGAATAAGTCCCATTACTTGCCTAAAAATGTTGTGTGAGTAAAAGTATCTGTTGTAATATTACAAATATTAATATTACTTTCAAGAGTAGTGAGTATAATGCAGTAAAAAGCTGATGCATTTACATGTAATTTGTGGATGTGTGTAAACCTAACATTCTGTAGTGCATTTAGCTGCCAAGCAGGCACGTCAAACGATATATTAGGCTAGATTTAGTTTGGGAAATCAAGTGACCAAAATTCAATGTCTAGCCAGTCTAAGAACAATGTATTTTGATGTCCAAAAATCACGTCAAATGATGTTGTGTTGGAAGGTGACCAAAATTTAAATATTTCCCAAATTATGTTTAACAGAACAAGAAACTTTTCACAGTATTTTCATAATATATATTTTTTTCATTTGCAAACAAAATGCAGCATCCTCATGACGTTAGGTTACAACGTCAATCTGACATTGCTGGGTGTTTAAGACCATTTCAGTCATCATACACTAAACATCCGTCATCTTTTCATCAGTGATATGCTTCGGAACAGTCTCTGTGTTAATGAGTGTAAAAGTTTTGGACATAATTATGGACAGCTAATGCTTCCAAACAGTTTGCTGCAATTCTACATCACTCATGTCTTGAGGTTTTTATGATGTGATTTACCTTCTATGTGTGATTTGATTAGACAGGAATCTTAGGAATCTCAGATTTTCTAATCCCCATAGACAAGAAAAAAACAAAGTAGTGACTGCAGGTTGAAGAAAAGTAGTGGAGTGAAGGTACCAATACAGCACTAAAAATTTACTCAAGGGAAAGTAAAAGTACACATTTATAAAACAACTTACTAAATTACAATTCCTGACAAAAAAAATACTCAAATATAGTAATTTGAGTATTTGTAATTTGTCTTTACACCAATGCATATGACACAATAACCATTTTATCTCGATCGTTTTTTCATAATTTTTACGGAGGCCATGCTAATTCTACACCCTTAAATGAGTAACATTATTTTATTTTAGAGTGAATCAACACAATTTCCACGGAAATAAAATGTAACCACATGTTCAATTTTCAACAGTTCTAAAGCATTATAAAAACAAACTCTGTAAAGAATGGCCCCAAAAAGATTTAGAGTTGTTTTAATTTCATTTATATACAAAATACAGTTTCATTAGAAACACCAGAAAAAACAGCACTTCAACTATCAGTGGAAAATATGGTAAGACATATTTTTTTAAAAATCAAGCTGTCTGTCACAGAATTATGTACAAATGGCTTCCTGAAGAAGGTATTTTATAGGTTCCTAATATTTTGTTGTGGTCCAATGAATGGGCCAAACAAAAGAAGCGGGTCAGCTTTAGTCTGTGTCTGATGATTCAGAAGAGCTGTCAGATGAGGAGGACTCTGTGTCTTTCTTTTTCTGTTTCTTCTTGTGCTTCCTTTCTTTCTCTCTCTTCTCCTTCTTCCCTTTCTTCTTATTGCTCTTGCGCTTTTTCTTCTTTTTGCTCATTTCATCCTCCTCCTCATCACTGGATGAATAAGACCTGGAGGTATGAAAACAAGATAATCAAACAGGATGCTGATAACGATAGCTAAACAATACATAACCTTCACAAACAGAAGAATTAAATAATTTTTCACAATAAATCAATGCAAGAACATATTTATGAAGAACGAGCAATTAGGGATGTCCCAATCAGGTTTTTTTGGCCCTCGAGTCTGAGTGAATTGTTTGTGAGTATCTGCCTATACCGAAACTGATCCGATACTTCTATAATGCCAAAAGAATAAAGAGCAAAAAAAAAAAAAAAACAGATCCAGGATGTTATGTTATTTTTACATTTAAAAACTCTGTTATGAAACAGAGCACTTCTGTGTGGTAGCTTGAACACAATCAAGCAATTAATAACAAATTCTTCACTTTTGGACTTTAGTGCAGCAGTAAATCTATTATAAAAACAAATAGCACCTCAACTTAAAATACCTGGCATGCAATCCTAACTTTACATATCTCACATATTGCTATGGCAATGTTGTCGTCATCAACTTTATGATACCTTCAGACCACAGGCATACTCCTGCTATATATATCCTGACCAGGAGGTTACGTCCGATTCTCATCAAGTCTGAAACCACGTGAACGGGCCCAATTTCCGATCATGTGATCGGATCTGGACATCCCTACCAGCAATACCCTAAAACAGTGGTAACCAAACTTGTTCCTGGAGGGCCGGTGTCCAGCAGATTTTTGCTCCAACCCTAATCAAACACACCTGAACAAGCGAATCAAGGTCTTACTAGGTATACTTGACAAATCCATGCAGGTGTGCTGAGGCAAGTTCAAGCTAAACCCTGCAGGGACACCAGCCCTCCAGGACCGAGATTGGTGACCCCTGCCCTAAAACATACATTTATTATAAATGTATCATCTTAATTGGATTTTTTTATTCTTTAAATTATGACAAAATAAAAAGTCTACCTCTTTTTTGCTTTTCCACGTGATCTCTCCTTGCTTTTCTTTTTATGCTTTTCTTTTCTAGAATCTTCCTGTGAACCTGTGTAGAAAACACCAATTTTTACAAAACGATCTTACTGTGGCAAATGATCACTGCAAAATCAGGGACTAACAGCAATGTCAGTATCCAGGTAAAGGAGTCACTGAAATGGTAAAGAGCCAAGACAGAATCGGAGTCTAAAGCGGTGAATAAACCTTTTGAATGGCTGCCGAAAATCTTTTCTTTACTGAGAGCTTCCTGCTCCTCCTCATCGCTCTCCTCGGTGCTGGTGCTGCTCACGTCCAAAACAATATCCTTCCTTGGATCCACGCGAAGAAAGTTACGACATTCAAAGGTAAGATGACCAGCTGATCAAAGGAGAGAAAGAATATATAGTTTGATTGTATTTATGCATAGACACACTTGTAAGTACACATAAATGTAATTCAATCAAAACTTTAAATATGCATTTTGTAAAGATGGATAAGTTAAATCGATCTATAGAGATACATGGATAGATATACAGAAAACAAGAAATGTAACACAAGCCAAACGTCAAATATGTTCACGTTTAGACCACGGGTGTCCAAACTGGGTCCTGGAGGGCCGATGACCTGCATATTTTAGTTCCAACCCCAATTAAACACATCTAAACCAGCTTATCAAGCTCTTCCAGGAAGGTCTATTGAAAGAAGTTGGATCTAAACTATGAAGGACACTCCAGGACTGAGTTTGGACACCCCTGGTTTAGACAGATAAATGGGCAAACAAATCCAAATTCATATGAAAATGTTAAAATATGTATTTTTGTAGATAAACAGAAAAACTGTCAAAAGTAAACGTAAATTAAACTTTAAATATATATTTGTGTAAAGAAAGACAAAAAAAAAAAAAAAAAAAACGCCATCCAAACAACACTTCAATTAAGTATTTATGTATATATTTATCTGTGGATTTGTGTGTAGATAGAAAGATGGTACATGGATAGATGGACTATGATTCATTATCTTTATTTATTTACAAGCAGAAATATAGAAAAAAAATCTACTTATAAACTGAAATATTGTTGGAAAGAAACTACAGAACAAAAAAAAAAAGCAAAAACAAAGTCAACTGTAAAGTTATGTTTTTGCCATACTCACGATAGCCACATCTTTTACATCCAGCTCTGATGTTGTCTTTATTTGGACCTGTTCATAAAAAGACATTCAATTCAATTTATATTTCTTTAAAAGTGTCATTTACATTGTTACATATATTCTGTATTGATCATATTTCATAATGGATTCATCTAGCTCACCATTTAAAACAATATCAAAGAAAGTATGTAGAATTAAAATAATGCGTCGTCATGAGATTTTATAAACATTATTAATCAGTAAACCGTAACTGTAAATGTAAAACATTCAGGAATTCAGGAACAACAGTCTTTTATTTAGGTAAATGTGTGCGATGTGAATGTCCAGACGAGCGAAGATAATCGTGCAGTGTTACTACCTAGAATAATCCCGAAGTAGCATATCAACAACAATCAGCAATGCTTATGGACAAACCCACAAAAGTATACCTGGGGCAGCCATGTTGTACTCGATTATAAATAGATAGAAATGATAACTTTCGTCGTATTCCGTCCGCCGCTTTTCAAAACACAAAACCGATCCGTCTGGTAAAAGAGTCCGGGTGGAAAGTGAACGAGTGCTCTATGGTACCATTTGGAGAACAGTTAATCCCTTCCATAGATGCATGAAAAATATGAATGTATTACGAAATATTAGCGCTAAAAAGATAAACGCAAGATGCTGCACTGAAAACCAATAAATATTGTCACGATAAGAGATAATTTGCCATATCTTTATGGTTTATCTGAATTTTGAGATATTGGCTTAAGCAACAATTTTTGGGGATACATTTTTCTGAATAGAAAGACACAATTTTCACTCGCAGGACAAAATGTTTTAAAAAATGCCAACACTACAATACTATACTACACGCTATAATTCAAAGACGACAATATAAGTGGAGATTATTTTCGTGATGTGCCCTGAAGTTTTAAACTTTACACATAAAACATGGTCATATTGATTATAATGATTGCTTGTAAAAATAAAAATCTGTCTCTCAATGTTCTATAATCTAAATGGTACGTTTATATTTACTCCGAGACTATAGGGGGCGATAAGGCCGAACAAAGTCTGCATGACGAATGAACGAAACTCTGCGGCGGCGTGACATGAAGCGCTTGTAAACAGAACATACTCTGGTACTTTATATCGGCTAGACGTGCTTCTTATGTTTTTGTAACATCTGCGCATATTCTGTACATTCTCTGTCATCAATGAAACCGTGGTGAGGGAAGTATACTCCAATAATACGCACTAAAGATGAGCAACATATATATTCAAGAGCCACCAACTAATGGAAAGGTGAGTTTCCATATCTCAAAATCATATTCATGATATATAATACTGCATATACACTAATTTGAGTCTGATTTTGCTTGCAATTTAAGTATTTTATTTACTTGCATTTTAATTATGAATTATGCAACGAATCAGTATTTTACGAGAACAAGCAAGTTAGTACCTTTATACATTTGTTCACGTATTTTAGAAACAGAATGGCTTATTAAACCTTTAAACTAATGCTTTAAAAAAACGAAAAAAACAATGAAAAGGTTTACACACATGTACATTTAAGATAAAAGAATATTCTCATATGTAATACAGCTCATCAGGGTGAAATTCTAAAAACCTTTAAATTGGTGAGATCTTTACTCTTTAATAGTGATCTTTAATAATGTGTATATAATATAATATATCTGACTACTTAAATAATACACAAGTGTTTAAGTTGTCATTCTAAATCTCCCAATAATATGTATTTAATAATAAAATGCTTCGGCGACGCAGTAGGTTGTACTGTCGCCTTACAGCAAGAAGGTCACTGGTTCGAGCCTCGGCTGAGTCAGTTGGCGTTTTTGTGTGGAGTTTGCATGTTCTCCCTCCGTTCGTGTGGGTCCACAGTCCAAAGACATACGGTACAGGTGAATTGGGTAGGCTAAATTGGCCGTAGTGTATGAGTGTGAATAAATGTGTGTGGGTGTTTCCCAGAGATAAGTTGCGGCTGGAAGGGCATCCACTGCATAAAAACGTGCTGGATAAGTTGACAGTTCATTCTGCTGTGGCGACCTCAGATTAATAATGGGAATAAGCCGAAATAGATGAATGAATAAAATGCTTCATTTTATGAGATCCATTTAAATCTCTTTAGTTTTATTTTATGCATTAGATGTGATAATAAAGGCTTTGTATGTTTATTTTAGCAGTTTTTTCTATTAACAGTTTTTCCACTGAAAAAAACAAACTGTTATAGTGTAAAGCTTTACAGTAAATAAAGCCTTTGAACTAAACTGGTGTTTTCTCACAGGTCTTGCTGAAGACCTCTGCAGGTGACATAGACATAGAGCTCTGGTCTAAGGAAACTCCCAAAGCATGTAGAAACTTTGTTCAGCTGTGTATGGAAGGTAGGTGGATTCACACACAAACTCATGCACATATAAAAGGCAATGATTTTATTATAATATTTTTTGCACTATTCATCATATCAAGTCATCTTCATACATAGACATTTGCATTTTTGCCTGTTTTTAAGGTTACTATGATGGCACAATCTTCCATCGTATGGTGCCAGAGTTCATAGTTCAAGGAGGAGATCCGACAGGCACTGGAACTGGTGGGGAGTCTATCTACGGCCGGCCTTTTAAGGTTGTTGTTGTTTCTGTAAATCATTGGGTGCTTTGTATAATTACATTGATGATCTACAAGTTATTTTTGAAGAAAACAATTACACTCATACCTCAGTAAATTTGGCGTGTCTTGCTATTAATATCTCAATTCTTTGTGGTATATTCAACAAGGTGGTAGAAAGATTCGTCCATATTGACATTTTTTTGGCATACACTCACATGAATGTGAATCTCCACTTTCAGCACATGCTAAAGGTGCTCTATTGGATTGAGATCTGGTTTTTGTGGAGGTCATTTGAGTTTAGAGACTCACTGTCATGTTAAAGATACCAGCTTGAGATGATCTGAGCTTTGTGACAGGATGCGTAACCCACAGAACTGCTACTGATTGGATAATTTATCTTTTTGGACCATTTTGTGTAAACCCTAGAAATGTTTTTTTTTCTTGTTAAAAATCCCTGTAGATCAGCTACAGAGTTTCTGAAATGCTCAGACGCCAACAACCATGCCACATTCATAAAATCCCCCTTCTTCCTAATTGTGATCGACAACTTAAAAGCTTATGATGTTTTTCTACTGGCCAGGAAATTAAAACTAGTTATTTCTAAGCCATCTTTTTATATAAATAATGTTGAAACAAGCCAAATATAGCTGTATGCATGCACTTTTTTTATTTAATATAACATTTCTTTAAAATCAGTTGACAATTTAAAAAAGACGAATTGTTGTAAATTATGCACTAAAATCTGTCCAGATTGAAGGTCTCAGATCACCAGTTTACGATTCGTAAACAGAGCAGCCTCTTATTAATGGAATGTTATTGTAAATATAATAATTAAGTCATATTAGTAAAAACAGTGTTATTAAACAGTATTTAAGTTTTATGGGGATGGATTCTCAGTGATCAGAAGATCAGAATGAAATACTCTCTCTGTTCAGAAAATGTCCTTCAGTCTAGATGAATACATATAAGCAGTCCACTGATTCTAATTAGCATTTGCTTAAAATGAAATTGAATCAAAACAGAAATGTTGTCCCTGTGTTATTATTAATATAACATATTTTTAACACTTTTACCTCAAACTGAATAGCAGTCTACACTTATAAAAAATACTTATAGTAATTATAGTGAATACCGTAGTGTTTTTGAATGATACTATTGTGAAATGTATTATACTAAATATAACTGTATTTAATACTCTATAATAGTTCAAAGAATAATACAAATTTGTTAATGAATGCTATCAGCATTCTGTAGCATTTACTATAATGAACTAATAAACTAATAAATACTGTAGTATACTTTAGGTTTTACTACAGTAAACTGTGAGCTTTGGTTTGAACAGCAGATCCTACTGATCACATTTACATGCCTAAATGCATTGAGATTCAATTTCTGTGAGCAGATAAAAGGGCTTATCTAATAAAGTGGCCAGTGAGTGTTTCTTTGTTTTGTGTACAAATGCTATTAGTCATTAATTGTTTTTTCCCAACTCAGGATGAATTTCACTCCAGATTACGATTCAATCGGAGGGGTTTGGTTGCTATGGCAAACGCAGGACCTCATGATAATGGGAGCCAGTTCTTTTTTACTCTTGGACGAGCAGATGAACTCAATAACAAACACACCATTTTTGGAAAGGTGACTTTTTAAAAATAATGACACATTAAAGTGTTTTTAGGGTTTGTAGTGTTATTTTTATTGCACCAAAAAAAAACCATATATCATATACAACCATATAACATGAAATTTTTTTCTGAAAAAATAACATTTTCATTTCTATTTTCATACACATAATGTGTCAAAATTCTGTTTTTGTTTTTTTATGTTGCTCTTTTGGCCGCAGGTCACTGGAGATACAGTGTATAACATGCTCAGGTTGGCAGATGTTGCGTGTGATGGTGATGAGCGACCTCTTAACCCACATAAAATTCGATCCACAGAGGTTTGTTTAAACCCATTCCTGCTGTAAACATTTTCTGGTTTATGTTTTTATACAGAATGATTGTATTTTGCCCAGGTCTTGCATTCTCCTTTTGATGACATCATTCCACGTGAGATTAAAGGCAAAAAAGAGAAGAACAAAGATGAAGCGAAGAAGTCACAGTCTAAAGCAACCAAGTATGGAGCCCTTTCACCTTTACAATTTTCTCTTTCTTTCTTTCTTTCTTTCTTTCTTTCTTTCTTTCTTTCTTTCTTTCTTTCTTTCTTTCTTTCTTTCTTTCTTTCTTTCTTTCTTTCTTTCTTTCTTTCTTTCTTTCTTTCTTTCTTTTTTTCTTTCTTTCTTTCTTTCTTTTTTTTAAAAAGACCAGTGACAAAAAAAACACATTGACACACTTTCACAATGCATGTAATGTCTATAGAATTAAGCATTCTTAACCTTTTTGATTTGAAATTCACCTTTTGACAGTCTTGGATAATAACAACAAAAGCTGTGTTTTAAAACGTATAAATGAGTATCATTGATTATTATATTACTACTTAGGGCTGCATGATTCTTTAGATGTAAAATAAAGGTTAATGTGAATAGGCTATTATTATTGTTAAATCTCAAACATATCTTCACCTTGGAATTATAAGGTTCTAACTGCGTTCTGAATGATTTTAAGATGTTGAATTTCAAAGTTTTTGCAATCCATATAGCAAACAGTATGTGTGCAAAAAAAAATAAAATGTAAACAGCTCATAAAAAACATCCCATATTGTAAATAAGTTGTCATTTAATAAGAATATGTCAATAACTCAGTTTTGACAAAAATGTCAGATTGAACCTTATAATTCTAAAGTGACGATATGGTAAAACAACAATCATAATATTAGGCCTATGTGTTGGTCTGCTGTTGCTTAAAATGCTAAATTTTGTACAGTCATTATGGTGGACCTGTGTCCTATGTCCTGTTTGTT